TATTGTTGAATTATAGCAGTAGTAAAACACTAAATGTATCACTAGAAAGCCATTGCATTGGAATTATTGTTGAATTATAGCAGTAGTAAAACACTAAATGTATCACTAGAAAGCCATTGCATTGGAACTATTGTTGAATTATAGCAGTAGTAAAACACTAAATATATCACTAGAAAGCCATTGCCAGTGCTTTTTCACTTTTCAGAGTTTGAGTGCCACTAGTAGGTTTCAAAGGTTGAATTATGCATGCGAGTTTCAGGGGTTTTAGTGTATTTGAAGTGAGTTTCGGTGTGTTTGAAGCACATTTAAGAGGTTTAACTGTATTTGAAGTGAGTTTCAAGGGTCGAAGTGTATTGGAAGCGAATTTCAGAGGTTTCATTGTGTAGGAAGCGAGTTTCAGGGGTTTTAGTGTATTTGAAGTGAGTTTCAAGGGTCGAAGTGTATTGGAAGCGAATTTCAGAGGTTTCATTGTGTAGGAAGCGAGTTTCAGGGGTTGGAGTGTTTCGGAAGCGAGTTTCAGAAGGTATAAAAATTAATTTTTTTATATATAAAACTAAAAGCAGTGAGAATTCTGATACTCTGTTTTGATATTAATCAACTCGCTATAAACAATTTATTTATTGCTTGTTTTTAAATTCATTACATAGGTTAAGATACTGTGAACGTGAGCCTGAACTATTAAGATTAGCTTTACCTTGTTTTTCTGATAATTTACAGAGAATCGTATTTTACTGATATTTTCAGCTTCGTGTATATTATTTAAAATTATCTTTAATACTTTATTACTTTTCTTTCAGATACTCAGTTGCATTCTCAAACCAGTCTTAGTAGGAACAGCGCCCTCTCTCGGCAACGGCATGCGAAATCAAATTCTGCTCATTCTCAGAACAATACAACAACTTCTTCAACATCACCAAATCGTAGTGGTCGCTCAATGAATGTAACATATGCAAGGTAAACTTTGACGGTACAGTACACGTGCATGTAACAATCTGATTTGTCTTGAACAAGATTTGTGTTTTTTGCCAGCACATGTCCTCACGTCACCTTGTCTTGTATGTTAAGTATTGTATCCTCTTTTTGCTGGCGTGGTATCTAAATGAATGCAGGAATTATTTTGACTAACTGTGTGATTTAGAAGAAAAGAAGAAACATTTAATGTATCATTTTTGCAGTTTGCTCGTCAGAAAATGGCTATCAAAAATGTATTCATTGAACTACTTTTACGAGAATTTTTGTAACGTTGAAACTAACACTTAATCTGTGGGTGAAGATAAACTGTTCAGCTTTATTGGTGGTTATTTACCAGTAGTCCTTTAGAACTTGTCTCGGATTTAGTAGAAAAATAATTGGGGTATTGTAAAACGGGTTTTACAGTGTGCACTCATGGCTACAGTTTCACCACACTTTTCTGTCTACTGTCTCTTTCCAGTCCCGTATCTGGCACCCAGCAGCCTTCTCGGACGGCCGCGCCCGACTTGTACTCTGGCTTACACCTTGCCTATGAAGTAAAAAAGCTCATGTATGCCACCCTTTCTCTCACTTTTTCTTTTTAATCTCTATACTTCTTTCTTGTTTCCTCTTCTGATTTTAACATTTTTCCCCGTTTCACTGTGGCTGATTAGTGGGAAAGAGCGCCCTCTAACGATTGCCACTAATGTATCACTTCCCATTCTTCGACCGAAAGTAATTACAATCATAATATGTGGCAGTTTGCTAACTAGCCCTTAGTTGTACAAGTTTATTTTTAATAGGTTTACTGTATCAAGCATTTAAACGGACAGAAGGATCTTACATTGTCAGCAAATATCACACTTTTTAGTAAGTGCATTAGGCCTAACATGATGAGACCTCATTTTTAATTGGTTAGGGAGTATAAAATAAAAAAAAATCTAAATGGTTTATTTCCATATTTAAGTAATATAAAATTAATGCTGCAGACTTTGTTTAGAATATAATGATAACGAAAAAAAGAAGTAATTTACTTTGAGCCTAAAAACCTGATAATCAGATAAAAACTTTTTTGCATGATAAATAAAAAAGGGCGCTTTTACCACTTTTCAGTTTTGTTGAAATGCATGTTTGGTGTTTTATACTTGAAGCCAAAAGCAACAATGTAAATTTTGAGGATATGCCTGAACATTTTAGAACATGCCTGGGAGACTTCGTTTTTCTTTCTTTTGATATGTAAAGTGAATAAATAAATTGTTTCTATCAGGCTAAATTACTTATGGAATATACAAAAGAAGCATTTTATCCATTTATTTTTAAAATATACACTGTTATTTTGTGTAAATAATGTATAGAATATACTATGTTTTCTTTTAATTTAATTTCTGCTTAATAGATTATATTCTGCTTGTTTGGTGCTATAAATCAATAACTATTGCTTGGCTATATGTTTAGCGTTATAAAGACTAACTAGTTTATTTATGCACGGATCTGTGTTCAATAAAACTAATACAGTAAGAAACCCATCATTTATTAACACTTGTCCAAAAATTCAGTTACTCTGCAATTTCTTTATATCGTGTTGTTTTCTAGACTTTAGGGTACCATCCTCATTTTACTAATATCATTTTTAAAAATATGGAGAGATATTTTGTGTATTAAAAATACAACAACTCAAATTAAATCAAACACAAATCAACATACAAGTCCTCTAAATAACATGATATCGATCAAGCTAGCCTATAATGTATTGTTCGGAAGGAAGTGGAATTTTCATCTCGTAGTAATACTAATGGGATACGTTATCCAATATGAGCAACTCAGTTGCATAATGCCAACTGGATAATATGTTCACGAACCTAACAACCACATTTCATAGGGTTCTCATTGTAATACTAAAATTACATAGATATCATTTTTTCCAAATTAAAATAAATAACATGAAGTAAAAATATATAAATATGTTTAAAAATGAACATACGTAACATTTATATAAATCAAATATATTCAAATATAAATTAGTTGAAGCTTATAATCCCAAGAATACTCTCTGTATTTAACTTGGAATTCAAGAGAGTACTACCAATTAAAAACTAGAGTAACGTGTTCAAAATATACGAGTGTTAGAGTATAGTAGTTCAGGTTTGTTAGCTTTGATGTCAAACTATGAGTATATCTATACTCTGTTCACTTAATGGTTTGCCTTATTGCAAATTAAAACAGTGAATCAGTCGAAGAATTATCTCAATTACATGTTTTCTCAGGCCAACAAACCGAGGTTCTGGTGGAAATGGTACCAACAACTCAAATAAACCCGACCGTTCGTTTTCGGCAGGACTGGCTGATGACCAGTCCAAAGACTTCGACATGGAGAAGACTGACATGAAGTACGACTCCACGGGGATGTTCCATTGGTGCTCTGCTCGGCCAATTGAAGACTGTATACTGGTCAGTTCTGTAGAAACCGTTTTCTGGTAGCGTTCAACGTAAAATAATGCTAGATAACATTTAAATGTTTATATGAAAACGAAACAACAATAATAAAATTACGTGGTAATAATCATATATAACATCCTTTCTTATTTACATTGTTACATTAACTGACCATTTAAAGTATTAAACGACACCCTTGTGATTAAAATGCAAGGTCCTTTAGCTGACCTTTAACCTTCTAGAAGTTAGAAAACAATGAGCAACGCACTTATTTTATTGTAAAGTTGCCTTTATTGGTTTTCAAAGCAAACTCGCATTCACCCTATTGATAGAAGTCCCCCGGAGGGACAGTGGTAAGTCTACGGGCTTATAACGCCAAACTCCGGGGTTCTATTCCCCGCGGTGGACACAATAGATAGCCCAATATAGCTTTGCTCTAAAACAAACAAACTGCTGATGGAAACTCATCTCTCATTCATTCAATTATATCGGCTTTTACTTATTTATTAATTCTAGCTTGCATTCACATTATTCTCTAGTGTTTTTTCTCCCTGAAATTTGTGCAAAAATAAACCTAGAGCTATTTGTGCACAACCATCTCTAATTCTGAAATTACGGTCTAGAGGGAAGGCAGCTAGTCAACAACACTCACTACCAGTTCTTAGATTACTTTAATCGAATAGTGGGATTTGATCATATGTATATATATATATATATTTAGAAAAAAAATGTACGCGTATGGCCCCAAACTGTAGAGCGTATTTGTGCGGCAATAGGACGCAAATCTTAGACTCTCAAATTCATCGTCTGGTACGCTAACCACTAGGTCACTCTCGCCCCCCCCCCCCATCTAAAATGCCCGTGAGTTCTTATTTTTGAGATAATTTTTTGAAAAGCAGACTGTACTGGCCCTGGTTCTGCTATAGACTTTATAAGGCCGTAAAAAGCAGTCAGGACATAGATTAATCACTTTTTCTTGGCTTGTATAGCTACAACTTATCTATTAAAATTGGCTTCTTTTAATTCAATACATTATGGTGTGTGTATGCAGTATCTGTAGTTAAAATGGATCAAGATCCAATCTCATAGCATTAAATTTTCAAACATTTTCCGGGGGGCATGCCTCCAGACCTCTCCCCTAGAAATAGCAATGTGGCAATGGCCTGACCAAAATTGCTTCTTACCGAATGCTATATTAGTTCTGGATTTTAGAGGTGCATGACTTTTTGATATCTGAAAGGCACCAAGACCGCGGAATGTTGACCGCTCCAAACTCTAGGCAGATACAGTATCCAAGAAATTTAAAGCCTAATATCCGTGATTGTTTTAAATTGATATAGAAAATAACACCCTTTTTTTTTCTAACTTTGAAATGTAATAACTTATCTCACCAGAAAATTTGTTCTCGTAATAAATGTATAGGATCGTAACCAAGCTGCCATGACAGTTCTAAATGGGCATGTGATCGTCTGTCTGTTCGCTGACTCAGAGTCTCCACTCATTGGTCTGAGAAACCTCGTGATGCCATTACGCGCCAGTAACTTTCATTATCATGAACTGAAGCATGTGGTCATCGTTGGAAGTGTTGAGTACCTTCGTCGAGAGTGGAAAATGTTACAGAATCTACCAAAAATTACTGTTTTAAATGTACGTTTTCAAACTTTTTGTTCTGTACGAGTAAATATTACAGGAAAATGTTACAGAATCTACTAAAAATTACTGTTTTAAATGTACGTTTTCAAACTTTTTGTTCTGTACGAGTAAATATTACAGGAAACTGTTCCAGAATGTACCAAAAAATTACTGTTTTAAATGTACGTTTTCAAACTTTTTGTTTTGTACGAGTAAATATTACAGGAAACTGTTCCAGAATGTACCAAAAAATTACTGTTTTAAATGTACGTTTTCAAACTTTTTGTTTTGTACGAGTAAATATTACAGGAAACTGTTCCAGAATCTACCAAAAAATTACTGTTTTAAATGTACGTTGTCAAACTTTTTGTTCTGTACGAGTATATATTACATACGGTTCGAACATGTTCAGTATATCAATATAGTTACGTGAATTTTAACATGTATTCATTCTAACTTTATGTACGCGTATTGTAATAGATCACATTACACTTAGCTTACATGTGACTAGAAAGACTTTTTTGTAGTGAGAGCAAAATTTGAACGCTCAGGGAAACTACTAATCCAAACAGTGAATACCAAAACTTTGTTTACATAACTAAAATATTTAAATAACCTGCAAATATGCAGTTGCTTTAGAATTAAAACTTATTTCGCGGTGATAAGAAAGTAATTTATTTATTGCAAACCATTTATCAGTGAAAGGGAAAATACTATGCAGACGAATACATGTGTATAACTATAATGAATTCAGTTCAAGGAAAAGTACTTATTAAGTGTGTAATTGGTATTAATTATGATTTGGAGTATAACATCGCGGTATCGTAATTGCTATTAAACTTATCAATTTATAAATCTAATTATTATTGAAGAAGAATGTTCCTAAGATGATTATATATTTATATTTTAATACAAACACACATATATATGCTGCAGACTTTTGTTGCTTAAAGTTCAATTCCATAATTATTCATTCATTGTTCTGCAACCCGTTTCTATATATGATGTGTGTAGTTTCTTATACATTGATCATTTTCTCAGGGGTCACCACTTAGCCGAGCTGACCTTCGAGCTGTTAACATTAATTTATGTGACATGTGTGTGATTCTTTCGGCTAAGATCCCGAGCAGCGACGATCCTACATTAGCTGACAAAGAAGCCATTTTAGCTTCACTGAACATTAAAGCTATGACATTTGATGACACAATCGGAGTATTAACCAATAGTAAGGAACGTTTTATCTTAATATAATTCAGAGGAGAAAAACTCGGAAAGACTTTATTTTTATTCGATAAGCTAAGTAGTGAAATATTATAGAAAAAATAATGGTAATAAGATAAATAATCTATTGGCAATGTATGACGTGCATATGGTGGTATTAATGTCTGTAATTTTAAGGTAATTTTTGCAAAGTCAAAGCGTGACCTATCTTAATCAGTTTCTATCATAAAATTATATTTTAGACGAGATCTTTACAAAAAATGAAAAAACAAATTATTTTATAGATTGAAATATCCTGTTAGGAAATTTACAAGTAAGTTTTTATGTTATTTTTAGAAGAAATAAAAATAATGAATTTTATTTTCCCTCACAAAGATGAATGAGGAACATTCAAATGTAATCACATTGTTTCTATACTTCGACTTTTACGTCTATTGGCAACTTAGATGGCAGAAGCAAATATACTAGGCACAAAGCGTAATTTATACGCTAAATCACTTTCTATGCAAACAGACAATTCTATCATTGATGTGTTTTTTGTAACTTTCATATTAAAGAAAATTTGAAGACCAGTTTTATCTTATATAACATTTATAAGATTTTCCTGGTCAGTAGCTGATTCTTTATCCATAACTGTTACAAAAGTTTTGTATATTTGACTAGTTAGTCGCAAACAAGATTGCACATTGCCTAACTACGGCTTCAACTTTCTACAAAGCCGGCTTAAGTAAAACGTTAAGTTTAGTTAAAACTTCAGTTCTTCTATACAAGATTTAAACACAACTCAGTGATTCTACACAATCACCCATTAGACTTAGCTAAAACCGCATATTGCACATAAATAAGGCTGTACCCTTCAGCATAATAGGCTCGTTAAGCTTAACCAAATATATAGGATTTTTATATGATCAGCTCCTTTGGTTTAGATAAACAAAAATACTTGAATAGAACCTTATAAAAAGTGTTAAAAAAAGTTACAAGGGTTATTCGAATAAATTAAAGTTTAAAGACACAATAATGATTATAAATAATGAAACGTTTTTATCTTTCAATTTTGTAGATCCAAACAATCAAGAGGGTTTTCCTCCACTCGGAAGTCCCGTTGCACTTCAAAGACGAGGATCAGTGTATGGAACAAATGTTCCTCTTATCACAGAACTAGGTAACTGTTGAAAGCTGTTGAATGGAGCATATTAAGTTAGCTTTGCTATTTTTCAAAACGTTTCATGTTATATACATACTTCCTCTGTTACAAGCTATTTTATGAATTGAAAAATCTACAGATCTATCATATTTATTATATCAGTACATACTGGTGAATCCGTTTAGATATGTAACAGCTATGTAGTAATAAATTTTACTTTCTATACTGAAAATTACAAAATCATTCACAAACAATGTTTTGACACACGCATTTCTGTTATTTAATGGATAATGAGTTTATACATGCTTGTTATGCTCACAGTATTCTTCATTTACGCTAATGCAGTTTTGAATTGATCAGTTTAACATCAGTAGTTGAAATGTGTGTTATATATTTCTGATATTTTCAATTCTCAAATCGATTTGAAAAAAGTGAGAATTTTGATGTAAAAAACCCAACACATATAGTTCTGAGGTTTGCTTTAAAAAATAAATGTCTAGTAATGTGATTAGAATAATGTGAAACTGTAATAAAAACACTACTTTCAATTTCCTTTCGATAATAGTTTGTGAGTATTATTAAAAAAAAACATGTTCCAATGGTCACTAGAATGTTTTTTTTCTAACCTTGACTTTTGTTGTAGGGCTTTAAAATTATTAGATTTTTAGAAAGCCAAAAAATTAACTAGTGTAACTTATATTTGAACGTTCAGTTTTTGAGGCAAGGCTATAGCAATCTAGCATATAACACATACACACACACAAACATTTTTTTTCTTCCTCATTTTAGGATCAAGATTACAGTAATCCAGCAGGTAATAACACCATAAACAAACTTTATCATTTTTTCATCTCCTTCAGCCCAGCATAACACTAAAAATCATGTTTCGATACTCGCGGTGGGCAGAGTACAGATAGCTTATTGTACAGTTTTGTTCTTAACAACACAGAAACAAACCTTCAATCCAGAATTCCAGAGTTCTGTTTTTGGATTAGGCCTACACTAATCCAGCATATAATAACAACCAAGTATTTCTTGTATTCTTCAGTCAATGATTCCAACGTCCAGTTCCTTGATCAAGATGACGATGACGATCCCGATACTGAACTCTACTTGACACAACCGTTTGCTTGCGGAACCGCTTTTGCCGTCAGTGTCCTCGATTCACTAATGAGCACAGTAAGTATCGTACAGTTGTTGAGCAGTTAGGTTTATCTTTATTTATTTATTAATTTCTTATGACAACAGATGTGTAACGTTATATTCCATAATAATAATTCTGCATTTCTCTATTTGTGTGTGTTTATATGCTGTTAATATATACAAGTTTTGAACTTTACATTTCATTTAGACTTATTTCAATGCCAATGCCTTAACTCTGATTCGCTCCCTAATCACTGGAGGAGCAACTCCCGAGTTAGAGCTCATCCTGGCAGAGGGCGCTGGATTACGTGGCGGATATTGTACTCCTCAGACAATAAACAACAGAGATCGTTGCAGAGTTGGTCAGATTTGTCTGCACGATGGCCCTCTAGCTCAGTTTGGGGTAAGTGCATTTTTATTTCAGGAAAACATCAACCATTAAATGCGTCTAATAACAAAAGTTTATCCACTTTACCTTAATGTTTAACATGTACTAGCATATGTCAAATACAGCCTAAAACACTTCAGTGATAACACAGTTCTCAGAAAACATGCTGTTGATAATAAAAATAATACAGTTAATAGTGGTTTACATGCTAAATGTAAAGTTTCAGACTTCTGCTTCAAAGCAGCTCATTAAAGAATTAAAAGCTTTTATTGGTAGCTATCTCCACGTTTTGATTTTTTTTTAGTAATCTGAACACATGAACTTTGACATTACCTGTTTCATTACTCTGTTTCATCTTTTGGGTAGGATTGCTGTTTTAATAAATTTTATAAATGCCCAGTGTTAACTATATTATTTTCTCTTATATATTTTACGTACCAACAGTTAGATCAGAATTATCCTTTCTATAATATTTTACCAGTAAAAGTTTGTTTGTAATTAAGCACAAAGCTACACAATGGGCTATCTGTACTCTGCCCACCACGGGTATCGAAACCAGGATTCTAGCGTTGTAAGTCCGCTGTGCCACTGGGGGGCCACCTGTAAAAAGATTTACAGTTAACTATACGTTACAGTTTGAGGACGTTAGAACTAGGAGGGCCACAGCACACTCAGTTTTTGTACTTGAGGGCCCAATACATGATTTGGCACCCACATATTTACAATAAAAAAAAGATAAGATAGAGACATATTTTCATTATTATTTTAATTTTTAATTAATTTTATTTGGAATATTTTAAAAGTTTTTCATGTCAAAGGTAAATCTGTAGGTATTTTTGTTGTTGTTGTTATTACATATAATGTTGTAGTGTTACTACATTGGAGAGATATGAAGATTTACGATTTATTTTGTCTCACATATGCATTCTGACCGAAATTGTAGTCCATTAGTTTTGAATCTGTGATACCCTAGTAACTGTTATCAAATGTTAGATCAGAATGATTCTTTCCGAAATATTTCACATTTAAATCAAGCTTTCCAATTATACGTTATTGTTACCGAATTTTTAATTAGAATGATTTTTTTCTGAAACATTTCACTTGTTAAAAAACTATAATTATGTACTAATGTTGTAAAGTATTAAATATGAATTATAATTTATGAAACATTCCACTTTAAAACAAGTTTTCCCATTATACGCCTTCGCAAGACATTTCACCTTTTAAAGAAATATTGCAATTATGCGCTAATGTTGTGAAATCGCTTCTAAAATATTTCAGCACATAATGCGTTACTGTACTGCGAAGAAAGAAATGTTAAACTTAAAAGGTCTCAGGTTTATTAATTTAACCCTATATGTACTTGTAGAAGTCAAAGTGCAGATGCCCCGACCTTATATTCATATTCAACATTGTATTATGCGTATGATGTCCCAGTTTCAACATTTCATGTTACAATACAACAGCTGATTTCACAACTTTTACTAGAATAAAAAACACATATGTACAAAGATAGTGAAAAATTTTAGATATGCATCTAAAATGATGTAGATGTTATGCAGATGCGATTAGCAAATTGCACGAAAGACAAAAGTACTTTATTCTTTACATGAATATTACCTTGTACTCTGACTTGTCATAGTCTGAGTCAGACTAACTTCAGCGTTTCACAGATGTATAGTAAAATAACTTTAGTAACACATCTGATATGTTGCATACAACAGACTTGTACTGTTAACTAAAAGCTTGCTACATTTTGTGAAGATACTTTCGTTAATTGGGAATAATAGTTAACATTACTTATCGAATACGGGGTCCCATTAGACCAACTCCGTGCACTTAATACACACAACATTATCAATAGTTACGTTTAATTTTGTTTTTTAGCAAATGATAAAGAACGAAAATTATCATGACATGTAATCAAAGCTTATTAGAAAATAAAACCAATAAAACTACTATCATTTTTTAGAACCCTAGACGTACTACTAGTTAAATTCAAAAGTTCGACTGACTGTGTGGTGAAATGTTTACAGAAACTCTTAATATTTGCATAATGCTTCATTGATAAAAAAAAAAAAGAAAACTGTGATATTCTGTTGGGAATGATTTTCTCATGAAGTTTTCCTTTACATTTTAGCAGTTATATGTATGGTGTTTTCAATAGTATTTTATTCACCACGGTGAATCTATATTTATAGATGGAATTCCCTGAAACCCGTATAATTCGTTTTGTGTTTATTTTTACACTTTAACAGTGCTATGGTGTTTTATTATGTCCTCTCTTTTTTTTGTAATTTTTCCCCATCAGGAAGGAGGCACATACGGCGAACTATTTGTTGCAGCATTGAAAAATTATGGTATGCTTTGTATCGGAATATATCGATTTCGAGACACAAGTAACTCCTGTGAGGCCTCGTCCAAACGTTATGTAATCACTAACCCCCCGGCTGATTTTACATTGTTATCTACTGACAAGGTAGGTTTGTAACTCTTTTAAACCTAAAGTGACTAAACTAATACATTTATTGTATAGAGACGAACTTTCTGTCATTGTTTTCAATTGTCTTCAAACTATTTTGAATATTTTACTTTGGTTTGCTTCTTTGTTGAATTTCGTGCCAAACAACTCAAGAGCAATCTGCACTAGCCGTCCATAATCTTGAGGCGATAGACGAGAGGGAAGGCCACTGATCATCAACATCTACCGACAACTCTTTACCAACGAATAGTGGGATTGACCATCACTTTATATCGCCTCCTAGACTGAAATGGCAAGCAGATTGCGAGTCAAGCATTCTAACCACAAGGCCATGGAAACCCATTTTTACTTTGGAAGCTAACATTTCATTGCTAGCGTAATTATCTATTTATACAACTGAAATGAAAATAATTTGTTATTGGTTGAAGAAGTCCATTCTCGATTATGGTTTTAGTAGGCACGGTAGGTTATTCAAGTGCTGTAATTTATTTTATAATCATAATATAAGATGCGAAGGTGATAACTGAGCTTATTATTGAATGAAATTTAGAGTAATTACTTGAATATTTCTCAATTCAAAGAAATTCGCTCTATTTCGGTAGTAGTTGAGATCTTGAAAACTAATTATATAGAGTATTCTTAAAACTGGATAGTTTTAATTTAAATAAACTTCAGCTTTATGGTCATTCAAACACGTAGATTGTATTTATATCCAGATACAATATTTTCTGCTATTATTTATTTATTCTCTGAATAAATTGACACTTTCGACTCCTCTTTTGTACCACACCGTGTATTTTCACATTTTACTTGTTCACTAAATTTATTTTCGTGATTCAGCTTTGAATTAAGAGACAGGACATACTCAGGGTTTGAATACTTCACATTACTTTTATTTCTCAGGTTTATGTCCTGCTACAGTTTGACCCAGGAATGGAATACAAGCCCAATAGAGGAGAGGAGATGAAAGATGACCACTCCTGACTCTTACTCTGTAGCGCCTTGACAGATGGGCCATATTCATTCATTTGATCCCACAAGTTTTAAGGATAAGTGATGGTTTACCATACGTTCCTTTGTTTCATTGTGCCCAGTACCAAGAATTTCCTTCGGTATTTGGATATATTTCAAACGTATATCAGTATGTTCGGTAAAACACTGACATTTGATATATTTTACAATCTAAAGTCCATTTTTTATATACATTATATATCTTATTATAAGTATCTTTAAACAATTCGTAGATTTAAAAAATAGTAATTTGAATTTTCCATTTTCCTCATCGATTGTAAACATCAATCTTTTTTTTTATTTCTACTTAAATCTAGCTCTGTTTCTCTGGGCACATTTTTTTTCTTTTGTTGAATTTACTATGACGTACATTTAAATCTATTCAAAGCTAAAAAACAAAGTTTAATTTATATTCCAAAGATATTGCGTTATATTTATACCGAGTTCTATAAATGTTAGGTTTAATTGTCTTATCACTTATCTTTTTTATGCACTTTATAACATATTGTTGAAAGTTTCGGGGTCAAATGTGTGAAATGTACCTGCCCACCAAGAAAGTTTGAGAAGTTCAGTCTTCTGTACATTCTAGAGGGATTTTGTTTTGTACAGCTAGGAGATAAAAAACAAAAACGATGTGGGTGGGCAGGAGATGCTTCGGGATGTTGGAAGTAAATACTCACCTGTAAAATAATATCTCGAAGTAAAAACGCTCAATCTGTCAAGGCTGCTACAGGAAACACTTTCTTCAACCAATGTTTCTTCTACTTATGCTGATACATCTCAGCACCGTAAAGTACCATGAGATACTCAGAGCGATCACAGGGTGGCGCTGTTTCTCAATATTTTTACTGTGATTTGTTATATTTGGCAAATGACTCTCTAGTCTAGGAGTTATATTTGCCTTAAATAGTTTACCCTTTGTTGCCTCTTCATAATATTTAGGCAGCAGATTGTAATATCTCAACGACAGAGAACATTTTCGTTAAACTGTGTGTTTAATTCATTTTAACAGTTTTAAAATCTGACAGCTGTTAAAATACATATCTGATATGTTATTAGTAAAATAATGAAAGTTGTATAAATTAAGTGCACACAGTTATGCTGTTTATATACAATATTTTATAGTTGTTAATACACAACCACCTTGTAAGCACAGAATGAGCTACGAATGATATATTAGGCAAATTCGAGAAACTTAAAGTTCCACATACGTTTCTAGTGATTGAAAATAATAAAAAATAATGTGCTAAAAAGAGATAATGTCGGCACAACGAATTTATTTACAAAATAAGTAACATTTCGGGTAACTACCCTTCGTCATACTAAAAAAGGTCCCAACACTAAAATCCGAAATGTTACTTTTCTGTAAAAAAAAAAAAAGTTTTTCCTACGGTGTCTCTTTTTAACACATTATTTTATGGTTTTTAGGAACGTTACATTGTTGACAAGTATTTGCAAGAATTTATTGAGTACGTTGTTCATTGTTGTGGAACTCTTTCAAAACGTAAGAGTTAAAAAATTCTTTACTGAAAATTATTGTCTTAAAGCACATGAAACAGCCATTAAGTATTCACTACACTGACTTATCAAATATACTAAGATTATATTAAGAGTGGTTTCAATGATGATTAACAAATCACTCAACAACATTAAACATGAAATTGTAATGATTTTCGTATATGTAATGGAAAATTTACTGCTTAATGATAGATCAAAGAATTCTTCAGGTATCTGTTGTTGTTGTTGTTTTTTCTGGTCTTTATGGTTTGATCTTATTTCAATTCGACTGCCTGTGATTTGTCTTTTATTAAATATCAGTCATTATCAAATAAAAGCCGGTTATTACAGAATAATTTTGAATCAAAATCATACTTGGATTTATTTAGAAAACTTACAACCCTGTTTATTCATGTTTGTATGGTAAGGGAGTTGACTACTCAGATCACGTGCTTTAAATAATTACTGTTAGTGCCATGGTAGCAGTTTAGTGACTAAGTTAATCTATACATAGTTATTGTAAAAATTTGTCTTTGCATTTTTGAAACTGCCTGGTCGCTTTTAATGTAGGTTGATTATTTCTTTGTAATCAACTGAATTTAGAAACACCATATTAATGTTTAAACTCATTGTACAGCTTGCTGGTTTATAGAAAATTCGTCTAAATCCAGAATAAATTATTTGAAATATCAAAATATTTTACTAGCATTGAAAATAATGCACATGCAGGTAAAAAAAAAAAAAGACAATCCTTTAATAACCTTTTAATAACAACTCTGTTGAATCTTGAGCAACCAAATGATTGTGTTTGTGGTGTAACGGTAATCATTTCGTGCCACTCGTAGGAAACCACATTCTCATAAAAGCCTAAAAATGAAATACTTGAACAGAAACGTTTGAATATAACATGCTTTTAAACTCATATTATAGATTAAAATATGACATTTTTACTATTTGTGGACATTTACAATAGTTTTTATTTTACATATGTTTGTTTTAACTATAAAACAAAAACTGCTGCAAATGTTCAGAAATGAATACAAATAATCTATAAGTATAAACACGTGATGTTTCACTTAAAAGTCGTATTAAATCAATAAAAAGTTTCACATTTCTATCGTCTCAGACTATCAAACTTGTAATATTTAGTGATTTTTCGTTGCGCAAAATGGTGTAACGTTTATCTTGAAGCTATACATTCTAAGTATTCTTGTATTTTGTTGTTTGAATTTTTGTTTATATGTGAAGACATCAACAAGTATTTTCTCTTGAATATATGATTTACTCTTTGATGGACTTCGCCAAAATATACTTGAAATTAGAATTACGTTAATATTATTTCTAAGCCTGTGTGATAATTTTTTAAATTAATTATATTTCATTTATAAGAAACGAAAGATAATGCAATGAGTCACTTCTCATAAAACTATTTGATATTGTTTTGTTTTACTTTTTACAAAAAAAAGGGTCTAGTCGTGATTGTAGTAAAAATCTTTGTTAAAGAAGGATAGAGTGTTTAGTTTATAGCCTGTTAAAATTTTAACTACTTATTGCTCTTGCTACGCGTGTTTATACAGCAAAGTGTCAGGCCAGAGTACAACACAATACTGAACTGCTTGCTTATCAGTGCAGTAGTGATTTTATCACTTTGGAAAGATGCAGGAAGAGGTCAGAAGAATGTGAAATAGTATTGGCGATTGATAAAAGTTTAATTAATCTTATGCATCTTTATGACTCGTATATAAATCTCTAGACTATGTTGGTTACTTGGATCAAATATTATAATTTTGTCCTTCATTATTGTTAAACAAAATTAAATCTCACAATGAACTACTTTATCAAGCTCGAAAATATCGGTTGTTAACCGACATCATTAAATTACAAACACGTCAAGCAGTAAAAAACTAAAACAACCCCGAAAATAACGTATATTTTTCTTTCTGCATAAGTATTTGCAAACATGTATCAAGTTTGTTGAAATAGTAAAATGTACCATATTTGTAATTTACGTTTTCAGAAACCACTCTTCAAAGAAGTTCATATTCCTAAATAAAGAAATACAGACGTTATTAATGAAATCTTATTTTTTATAAATACAATTTTTTAAAGACATTATTGTGCTAAGTGATGTAGAAATTGCATGTTTTTCTGAAAGCTATGAAAAAGTGAATTGTGAAATACAAGTAGTATTTAATTAGCTAAGTTTTTCTCGTTTTGATGGATTTTCTTGAAAACTGCCTTGTTCGTTTTTAGAGTATATTCTAGGTTAACGTAAACTATAGTTGAAAAAATCTTCAAATTTAAACCTAATTATATCTATAATTGTTTTGCTTTGCAACATTCTTATCAGCCTTTACGATCTTCATAACTTTATACTTCATCATGTAGTTTTGTACTTTTTGTTTAGATTATTTGTATCGAACCTTTTATTTATAATTTTGAATCAGTTAAACGAAAAAAATAATAATAATAGGGTTTTAGTAATTATACTTACGCAATTTAGACAGCTTAACGTTTCATGTTGAAACAAAGCAGTGCTTTTATCACGTAATCATTACAAATGTTACTAATAAAAATATTGAGATAAATTATTCAGGAAAAATGCCATAGACAATGGAATTATTGACAAGACGAGTTTGTAAAACAAAAATCCATGAGCTTTAATTACCGATGTTGTGCTTACGTTGTTAATGTATATAATAATGTTATCTATATGCATAATTCTACACTCTCTTTATGATATATATACTCAAAAGTAGCTGTTTTAAAATCACATTTAAAAATCTATCCATGCTCGTGTTTTCACTTGTCTGGTTCATCATATTAACTTCTTCAAAACATCTACGCATGCTTTTGGGAATGAGGTTCTGATTGGCTGGAGGGATTGCTGACGTTATGTTTCACTATCCATCACAGAAAAACAGATGGATATTTTAAATTAATGGGCTTTATTTTTCAGAATATTCTCATACCACATTCTTTGTTGGTCTGTTGAGGGGAAGAAAAGGTTGTATGTACAGAGAATGCAAGATAAAATAAAAAAGTAGTCTTTCTTATGGTATTAAAATGTATATTAAACTCTTATTCAGCCCTTTTCATATGGTTTTAGTTTTGTTGTGCACGTGTTTCATTATCAATTGCACACCCTAAGAAATTATATTTTAGCCCAAAACAATAAACTCTTGTTTACCATTTATATGACAAACTATCTATTATAGACAAAAAACATATTTAGCAAATAGTATAGAAAAAACTATTTAACTTTATTAGAAATTCTGAGCCAATCAGAGCCTCAAAATTTATTATTTACTTTAGGAAGTAAACTAACACCTCTAGAGGTGGCTTGACACTTAATAAACTTTGATTAAGATACTCATTTTGTGGTCTTAAGACATTGTATTGACATAGTACAAAGTTGATAGAGGATTCTAGTGATGGAATGTCAACAAACAAATAAGTTGTACAAATAAGTAATAAGTATGCACGTATGTTTGTGTACACTTTTGAGATTATGGTTTGAAAATTGCGATTATCATATGTATATTGTTAAACATTAATTTTGATTTGATATGATAATCAAAGTTTTCTGGAAGATCTGGACAAATGCATGTACAGCTTATATGATTGTTGTATATGACTGAAATGTAAAAGATTTAGATGTGATCCATATGAAATGTTATTCAGAGTGATATTTTTGTCATTTAATTACACATTTCCTTTAGCCTTATTGAGTGATTGTCTCATATAGAATGTATATTCATTCCAAATAAAGATATTATGAACTTACTGATTTCAGTTTTGAGTGATATATTTTTATTAAACAATGATGATAATGCAAAGTAATGAACAGTAAAAATAAATTCATCTAATTTCTTTAAATAGTTAACATTCAATCTACTGTTCATATACATTTGTTCAAGATTCCTGTAGAATGGCTTTCCATCAATAACTTAATACATACAGGAAAGATATTAAGAAATCTTAAGATCAGTGTATTTACTAGTTTGTATTCTACAGCTATTGAGAAATATTACTTATCTCTTCACTCTAATTTGACATCTCTAGCACAGTTAAAAAAGAAAGAAAAATAAGAAGGTCTAGGTGGAAGATAATATCTCAACTAAAAGGCTTTAATAGATTTGAATCTACCTGTTAAGATTGGTTTATTTGTTTTTGCACAAAGTTACAAATGGGCTACCTGTGCTCAGTCCACTGCAGAGATTCAAATCCTAATTTTAGCACTGCAGGTCTATACACCTACTGCTGACATTCCAGATAACATTTGTTAGGATACAATTATAAACAGTTCAAATGTGCACTTAGTGTGTGTTCTGAGACTAGCATTAGTTAATAGTTTTCTATGGTAAGAATGTTTTCACTTATGGATATCTACTGTTAAAAAGCCCAAGAGAAAAAATAATTGCTTGTTTTGGTGGCTTTAAATAAGGAATCTGAATATATCAAAAGCAGGGATGCAGTGCTGCTGGAGCACACTGGAGCACCACTCTGGCACCTGAAATTGGAGCCAAGTCCCACCACTTAAAAAATTAAAAAAAAGTTATTCAATTTACACCTGAAATTGTATTTTATAATCAAACACTAAACTAAAGGTTGCTTTTTTTTAGCTATTTGTGTTAGCAAGACAGGAAGTACACAAAACATTATAAAAATCAAGGTTAAGATTACAGTGCAGTAAGAAAGACAGTAAATTAATAAGATATGCAATTTTAAAACTTGTTTTAATGTTAGTGATTTTTATTTGGTACACTCTTGTCTTTTCCTTGCTGCTTAATATAGAGGAAGTTCAGTTGCATGTTTTCTCTCACTAATTATGCGTATTCAATTTGAGTCTTATGTAAGTAGTCTCGAATAACTAGTGTTGAATTAGTGTTCTTTATTTAAAATGGACTCGTAAACTTGAAATTAGCTTTTGAGATATTTATAGTGACATCACATGTCTGACAAATTTTGGCAGGAGTCTGGCACAATAAAATTTAGCACTACACCACTGAATAAAAGCCTCAATCATTATGTATTAGAAACATGGTACAATAACACAGATTTTAGCTGCTTGACTGTTACTAAGATTTAAGGGATATGTTTAAGATACTTTTAGCTATTAAACCTAACATTAATGAATATATCATTATAATTTCTCTCCTCAAAATTAAGCTTAACATCATAGAACAAGTTGAATGAAATAAATTGGCTACTACCTGAAAACTGAGAATTTCTTAAGATCTCACATTAGGAGACACTTCTTTTTTCTCAATACAACTTATACAGAAATGATCAAGGCCTATCAAATTTTACTTAAATTTATTCATATAAAATGTTTCTTAGGGCAAAAATATAGTAACACTAATTCCTAGTATTTCCTCATGTTGTCATAAAAACTATAATTAGGTAGATTATCTAGTTCTAATTTTTGCTAGGAAACAGAGTAGAGTAATCCCAACTTTTGTCTTTCTGCTAGTTTCTTAAATGAAAAATTTCCGTTAACTCTTATCAGATTAATTTTGTGCACTCCCCAGTATATATTTTCTTTAAAACATCACCTAACAACAGTGCACATGTTTACTTTCAAAGACATGTTACATCACTAGCTTGCTGTATAACAAGTTAATCTGAACCTGAGAGAGATGCATGGCTGTGATACATCACCCTCACTTTGCTTGTTATGTAGTTAACACAAGGAGATCTGGATTTTATACATTAACAGATAATAATTCTTTTAATAATTGATATCATAACTAAAAGTGGTGAAAAGAGACTGATGTAACATATAAGAAAACCTTCATATACCTGCACAAAATAGTATTGTACAATAAACATTTCTTTTTGTTATACTACAGTATCAGTTTATGAAGAGCCAGTGTTTATACCCAGACAGATACTCACTTTGTAAAATAATACTATGAGTAAATTTGAGTTTTAGCTTCATATTTACCACAGATAATCTAAGAGATGCATAGTACAGGTTTTATTCATAATATAATTCTAACACAAAGAAATGAATAATGATGGAGGGTTTGGCTTAATCACAGTATTTAGTATGTTTACTGTGAGAATTATATTATGTTACAGTGATGATGTCATAAACAATGCACGATACTTGGCAACTGACATTCAATGATGTCATCGAGAAAGAAAAAACACTGCTTTCAACAGAAACAAAACCAATTCCTAGGATAAAAAGTATATGTGAAATTCCCAGAAAGTTTCATTTGATTCAATTTCAATGCATATAAGAAAAAGTTACAAAATACAAGTTGTTGTTTCAAATACAGAGGAATCAATATTAAACTTTTATTGTAATATGTTAACAGTTTTATATATATATTGGAGATACTAACTTTCAATGAAAAATTTGTCTTCATAAAGTCTATTTAAATGCTTGTTCAGGAAATTTAATTCTCTGGAATTTTACATTATATTGCTATAAAAAACCTCAATACATCAGATTTTATTTGTTCTGACTGCAGTATTTTGCTGACCAAGATGAAATCTGTAATTTGTGAATACAAATCCCTCCTCAAGAAAGTTTTTAACTACTGCTTGTGAAAGATTTTTTTTAATTGTAAAAGTTCAGAAAATGTTTTCTGTTATCATTCATGAAGACCTTGTTGATTTTATTTACATACACTGTGACTAAGAATGATAAATAAACATTCATAGGTTCATAAAACTCTAAATTTAACACAATGTTTAAACGCTTGTCAATAACAACATAAGTTGTTCATCTTTTACACAGAGATTTTAAACTGTTTTTACACACTAAGATAAATACATACATGTATTGGTGCTACTTTACACTCAAAGCTGAGATCCTTCCTAGATTAACTACTATACATTCATGTCCAGCTGCTACTTTTCACTTCAAGCCAAAATCCTTTTAAGTATGGCTACAGTAGATATGCGTACAAATAGTACTTTACATTCAAAACTGAAATCCTTCTAAGAATAGCCACTATACATACATATACAGTTGCTACTGTACATTCCACAACTGAAATCTTTTCAAGATTAACTTCTACATATAAATGTGCATCCAGAATCTTTCAAAATGAAATTACTACATACAATAAACGAAAAAATGTGCACACACACACATTAAACAATTATTCATAAACACCAGTTTCATATTTGTAGCTTACAAAATATAACATTATCTACTTCTACATGTAAACTACCCAAAGGTTTAACTACAGGAGGCCACATTTTAAAAATAATTGCACTTTTGTTTTGAAAGACAGGGAACTATTACCAGGATAGTAAATTCTAACTAAAAATTTAAAATGGTGAGTAAAGTAAGTATATTACATTTTAATTTTGAATATAAGGTGGTACGTTTTAGCTTAACTAAAACTTCCAGTGAAACAATGTAATAGTGAAACTGAAAGCAAAATAAAATTAAAAACTTCTCAGTTTTTTACTGATACTATACATATTCATTTACAATTGTAATCATAAATAAACATATTTATGTTGCCTCAGTGAGATGTAAAAAGCTGTTTGAAGAAATGTTTACATTTCTCATAAATATGCATGTTTTTAAAGACTGACATAATAACTTAAAAATAGTTGATGCATTTTAAGCTTAAAAATTCCCTATTTCTAACTTATTTAATATATAAAATTCAAACTTCAGAAAGAGATATTCTAGTGATAAATATTTAGTTTAGGAACGTAACTTTTCAAAGACAAAAAACTGAAGTTTAGAAGAATGTCAAAATTAACAATAATTCCATTAGATTCAATGTATATGCACTTTATCAGATAATTTCCCATAGTTCTTTATTTTTTGAATACTGATTTTAGTATTCAGTAACTATAAATTACAATTCACACCATAAATAACAAGAAGATACACGTCAACAGATTTGCTAAAAATGTTGAACTATTTTCTTCAAGAATATCATACAAATATATATATGTTTCTTCCTTCTATAACAACTGTATGTACACACTAATTACAAAATATTCATAATACGTAGTTATCCTTTTACATCTGTGTACAAACGTGCAAGTCTATAAGTACAATCTTGGACAACTAATCATATGAGCATATTACCTTTTCTAGTATTACAATAAATAGACATTATGCATCATTTTTAATCAATACACGGGGCCGAGAAAAAATCGCTATGCCTTCCTCAATCTTTGCAAGCTGTTGTTCTAACTCCTCTTTCTTATTTCTGAGCCTCAGAGTATCATTTCTTATTGGCAAAGTTGACAAAGTCTTCAGTAGCTCTTGTTTATCTAAAAACACAAGAATCACATTGACAGAGTTATCAAACCTAGTTTTTTTTTTAAAGAGAAGCTTTCTGTCTCAACTTAAACACAGATTTTCTAAAATTGAGAAAGCACATGATCACATTTGTGCCAAAGAGTAGGTAATTAATCAAGGTAAAATAATATTTTCATTACTATGGATTTTCAAAAAATTTAAATGTTTGACAACTCATTTCAACAGGTTTTTATCTAAATAGTGAGAAACTTCTTAATATTACTAAAACAAATCAAGTTTTCTTTTGGACTGAATATGTTTCACAACTCATGAGTATATTAAGTTTGTAAAAAATCATGATCCCAAGAAATTATCTCACTTTGTATTTGCCTCAAACTGTGCAGTAGATAAAGAATTTGTCAATATTACAAGGGCTATAGATTGAGAGAAGAAAAGTATATAAATACTAATAACAATTGCTTGTATAGTTTTTAATCTATCGTATTAGCCTGATTATAGGGGATCTCGAATTTAAAGCAACCCCCATTTTCAGAAACCATGGGATAGAAAAAAATTGAGTGACATAACATCCTTTTTTAGGTCCACGAAATGCCTTTCTTGTAGAATATGCATTAAAAGAATTCAGTCTTTTGTTTCCGCCAACACCTCACATTATTTTCAGTTACACCAAATGCTTTAGCAGCAGTACAATTGTTCGTTTTTTCTGCCTCACGCACCACCATAACTTTAAGATTTACATTATAACTCTGTCATAATCCTTTGTTAATTTGACACTTTCTTGTTCCCTATCTTTCAATGTGGTCACTCATTCTTGCACAGCAGTCGATCACTAAAATGTGCCTCACAGACAACAATTATTATAAAATTTAAAGCAAGTACAATCAAAGCAGTAATGCCCCAGCAAAATCAGTAATATAACTGAACAGCCTGCAGATGGATTATTTGTAAGAATTAGTGTTGACTTTAAGTGAATATCTGGTGCTCCTGCATAGAAGGATGCTTTCTGAACATCCAGGAATGTGACAGGCTAGAGTAGGGGGAAGGGGCCTGTGGTCGGCCTTGATTATAAGGAGACTATGAATTTTACAGCCTAATTATTAATAAAAAAACATTGCCTTATAATCAGGCCAATATGGTATTATAGAATGTGTTAATTATGTCCATCTTTTTATTTCAAAAGCAGTATTTGATAGCAGTAAAACTAAATGACTGTTAATGACAAACGTTTTGTATTATTAGAACAAATCTGATGATGATGTTATAAAAAATACCCAAAAACAACATTAAAAAGACATGAGCTGTCTTCTGGAATCTTAAAGCTATTTGCACGCCACCAGACACAGGTATTATAAGAATATGCATAGCTTCAAGTATTAGGTCATCAAGATTTTAATGTCGCTTTTTCTTAGTTGAAAAAACCTGAAC